TTTGTTTTCCCTACCTCTATTTCTGTTTGTCAGTTAGGCTGTGTATTGAATAACGTGAATAATTGATCAATATGCTCATATTATTTCATATATGTATATATATTTTAAAACATAGAACTAATTGGTTCGATTACTTAAAATTAAGTTTAAATGTAAGTACTTCTTCAGATATTGACAAAAACTTTTGCATTAAAGTTGTTTTGAGTTATGATGCTCAACTATGATAAATTTTTGTATTGAAACGAGTTTAACATACATTTTTAATAACTTGAAAATTCAACAAATTTAATTATTTTAATTAACACTTGCAGTCGACATAAGTTGGATTGTTTGATAAGTGCAATTCATTCACATTATGTAATTTGATACTTAAATGTGCACTCCATTGTCACTTAATATACCAGCAACTAGAATGTGTTGCAGAATTCACTTTGGTGCAAATACCTTTGGCTTCCTTTACACTAGAAAATCTTTGTTCAAATGCTTCGTGTAAGCAACTAATTCCGACATGAGGCATTTAATTCAAATCAGTAGTGTGCTTTGCGGATAATCAGCGACTCAAGATAGTTACAGATAAGAGGCAAGTGGACATGTTTCGGATGACAATGTGCACACTGTTCATACAATATAAGCAGCATTTAGGTTCCTAATACGTATGCAAATGGTGGCACTCATGCACATTTCAGTGGTGCCATTAATAGAATTCTTTAAATTATAAATACCTTCAGTAATGAAAATAAACTGAAATGAATTTGTTAATTGTACAATATATAACGATAATATGGTAACTGATATATACACTAAGTATAGTTTGATTTTTTAAAATGTAAATAATATTTACTGCATTCAATAAAAGTGGTTTTCAACCGAGAGAAGTCGCTACTGGCGTGACATTCCAGGTAACCGTCAAACTAAAGAGGTGTTTCATCCTGATAGTTACGATAAGGAATCGTTCTTCAGCAGAATAGAGTTGAGGATGCTGGTAAGATATTTAACGTGTGACCACGAACTGCATTATAACCTTAACAAACTGGGTCTGCCTGAAGAGGTAGATTGTCGACCCTGCTTAGAAGCAGACGAGACTTTCAGTCACATTCTCTGTGACTGCCCAGTGTTAATCTGGGCTTGGAGGAGGTGATTGGGTCGAGAACTTCTCTCTCCTTCTGACATTAGGAGATCCTCAACGGCTGACATTCTGAATTTCATTCGACGAAACTATCGTCTCAATGCTCCGCTCCGTTGGAAGTTGGTACCCTGTTTTTATCTATGACATTCGATTCAATATTCACTTTGAATTTTTAATTATAATAATAAAATCAGTGTATCAAGACAATGATGTGCAATTTTTTGGTAGACACATTTATTAGCGTATTGAAAAATTTATAATAAGATTCGATAATACTAAATAAAAAGGATTTATGTATTATTATGATATGGAATGCTTTTAATCGCCTCACGATAATTTTTAATCGTTCACAGACTCATATTAAAAATTTTTTTTGTAGCAAATGGGACGAAAATAATAATTTGCTGAGTAATCATATCAATATACTATAAATAATGTGTTATTAATCAAAGGCATATATATTTAAAATAACCATGTACCTGATATACTACTTGAAAGCTTATTATTATTATTTTTTCGTATTTTACAAATATGTATTTAATTTTTCCAGGCTTTAGGTTATTTATTTATAATTTATATTTTTATATAATAACTTATACAATATAAAAACAAAGTTAAGATTGAATTTAATAAAATCACAGTTGTTGACTTATATATATACAGTCAAACCTCCATAACTCGAACTTCTATATCTCGAATTTTCAATAACTCGAACTAAATAGAACGCAACAGGGTTAGTAGAGCAAATTACAATTACAAAAAAATTCTTTAACTAGAAGCCTCGAGCCTTTGCTTTACAAAATGGTACTTCGAGTTAACAGATAAGAGATATTTCGGTCTACTTCGTAATAGTCTACGAACAACTGTGTTCAATTAAAGAAAAAATGGGCACTGCACTGAACTTTGAAAGAGAAATTATTTTTTAGAAACGAACAATTTTTATTCACTTTGACTTGTATACAATTTTCGAATTTTGGAAACTTATTCTAACAAGCATTTTTTAAGTTTTTTATGCGGAGTTTGATAAGATCAATCTGCCGCAAAGTGAACCTTTTAGAAATGAATGTATGGAAAATTACAACCGCGTTCAGCGGTTTAAAACTCTTTCCAGTATCGAATATAATAAAAGAGAGCAGATAGGCTTAGTATTTATTTAGCCAAATTTATCAAAACTAGAAAAGTATGGTCGAAATGATTTAGAGGAAAGAAGATTTGTAGATAAACAGAATTGGGTTAGCGCAAATTTGCAGAAAGTCTAAACTAAATATAAGCTCTACACTCGGGATCATTGCGCCCTCGATTATAGAGCAAAAAAGGTGGCTGGTAGGCAGGGTCTTCTTCAAGATAGAGGGCAAGGAATTGGTTGACTTGTGCTTTAGGGTCTCAAGCAGCATGATTGAGAGGAACTCTATTTGGAGGACTTTGGAACGATTCCAACCCCGTGTGAAATATTTTCTGGTAAGAAAGATATTTATCTTTTCGAGTACCCTTAGGAGAATTGACAACTAAAGAATTGTGTTAGTGTTTGTCACAGGTTCTGCGTCAATAGTTCACACAATCATAAAATTTTCTTTAATAAGCACTTATTCTAATTTATTTATAAATATATTAAAATTTTTAAAATCATGCACTGTCGAAGAAATCACCCAAATCATAGCAAGATTAAAGATAAGATCGGCACCTGGTCATGATATAATTAACAACAGATGCCTACGTAACTTGCCGAAGAATGTAATCCAGCTTATCACTAACATAATTAATTGCATGCTCAAGCTAGGTAAATTTCCTAAGTTCTGAAAGCTGGGAACTGGCGCCCCATAAGCCTTTTATCAACCATTGGAAAGCTTGCCGAAAGGGTAATGCTTGGCAGATTAAATGTAGTGGCTTCACGCAATATACTCCCTGACGAACAATTTGGCTTTAGAAATGTCCTGTCCACGGAGCTTCAACTGGTTAGAACGAGCCAAATGATCCAAACAGCCCTTAGTAGAAGAGAGTCAACTGGAATGATCTCTCTCTCTCTCGCTCTCTCGTCAGTCCGATCTATAGAAGCAGGGGTTCCTCAGGGTTCGACATTTTCCCCCACTCTCTACAACATTTATACATCTGATATTTCAATGTTAGGTCCCTCGATTCTGGCGTTATATGCTGACCATACGTGTATGCTATACTCAGATAAATGTGCTCTCAACATAACGAACACACTTCAAGAGAATATAAACCTTATTCTGGAGTATTTTCAGAAATGGAAAATTAAAATCAATAATGAAAAAACTAAGGCTCTGTTTATAACGCGTAAGTGGAGACAGAATCCGTCGAGAGTGAGAGTGGGTGATATGGTGATAAACTGGGAGGATAGCGTTAATTATCTCGGCATCACGTTGGACAAACGATTCACATGGCTTAAACATGTTCAACTGAAAAGAACTAGCTGTACTAAAATTCTTCATTACCTCCAACCGCTATTTAGAAAAGAAAACCTCAATGCTAAGAACAGGAAACTGATATATAACCAAATAATTCGTGCGTCACTTCTATATGGTTGTGTCACTTCTATATGGTTGTGTAGCGTTTAGCAAAGCTTCAAACCCTATTTATAACTGATAAATATAACTGATTATAACTGATTTGAGTGTTTTCTGTTCCTAACTGGATCAAGATTATTCTAATGTTTGAAATTTATTTTTAACTCTTGAAGATAGTAATTATTATCTGTATAGTGTCAATATGGTTTTATGATTCATATTCTAAATTCATATAAAGAAAAATTACTTAACTTGAAATAAAGAATGAAAGCGTTAGAAATAATTTTTTTGTTATATTTCTTTCCTTAAAGCAGAGAATTAACATATATAATTTATCCTTTTATTAGTCGGTTTTCAAAAAATTATCCATCACAGTTGAATTATCAAATAAACCAGTATTGAAAAAAACGCTCTCTTTCAATATCTTTGAACTATAATAATAACTTTATTTTTATTTTAGTACTATTAGCTGGCACTCTGTTCTTATTTTATTTTCAATTTTTGTAACATTTTTATTGCTTTTAGCTTGCGGTTTCGATATTTTTTTTTGCTTCTTTATGTTATTTGTATGATATTGGGTGGCATTATATGTTATGAAGTAAATGTCGCAACTGTTATAAATTAAATTTATTTTAACTATATATTTTTAAATATTAGGAGATTTTTTTTTAATTGAATTGCTTTAAAACAAAAAATATCAAAAAGGAAGTAAGCTCAAATTTTGTATTATATACTAAAATTTGTTTCTCAACATAAACGCTATTTCAATAAACTCCTTAAATAAATATTATCCCACAAAATTCTTATTCCTTTTCATCAGTTTGAATTTTTATTAATTTTATTTTAAAAATCTATTCTTTGAATACATTGATATTAATTCATTTTATTTTATTGATATTAATATTGTATATCTTATTAAATTTTTTTGTTTTTTTAATTAATTCAAATTCGATATGTTTTCTGTCACATAATACTGTGACATTTTACAATTTTTTGATAAATACTATTTAAGCCATAATAATTAACAATATAGATAGTTCACACGGAGAACTACTCTTTTCTTTTTAAATTATATTTTATTATAATATCTGATCTTATTAAATTAGTAAATCATAATTTGTCTAATTTACAATATTTGATTCAAGTATATTCCATATACTTGTCCAAATGACTTAAAAACTAAAGCTTAATTCCTTAAACCACAGTAAGTATCCACTTGGTATGTTTCCAAGTGGTAATAAAGTTCACAATACATTTAAAGATAAATATAAAGATAAAGTTATAAATTTGAATAAAATGTAAAAATCAGATTTTTAAATCTTATACTCTAGCAATCTTTCACATATTTGTGTGTGTTATTATATATATTCGTTGATAATGGAGGAGTAGATATATGTGTACTACCATACAATCTAAATTGACTTAATTTCAACTTAATTGTCTTATTTGTAAATGTTGTTAAGATATATTGGCCTAAGTGGCGATGAGATACAATTTATGTTACTTGTACGAGTATATCGCCTTATAAATGAGAGCACAGAGCAGTAAACTAAGTTCAAGTTGCATTTCATTCATAAAAGACCGCTGCGCCTGGCTAAATTTGAACTTAATTGTTGTCTATGCTACGAAAAGTGTCATATATCAAATATCTTTAAACATATTATATATGTTCACAACAGAAATTTAAAACAATTCAATTTTCTCTTCCTTTTTTCTTTAGTTAATCTTTGAGTACAGCAGAAGAACTCGTACGTTGACCGCAAAATAGTATCTCAAAATTAAATTAAATTATCAAATGCAACAGTTTAACAAGTGAAGTTACAGTGTTCGAATGTTGAAGTGACAACAGTTATAAAAACGTGTCTCAATTGCATTTATTTACAGTTAAAATTTCTCAATAAAAACACTAAATTAAGATAACCTCTTGAGAATGCTACAAAATCCATCAAAATATCATCCGAATCCTTTGTCACATTTTCTAGCATTGCATAACTCACAAGCTGCACATAATGCTCATGCTCACATATTACCAACATCAATGGCAGGTCATAATCAATTCCAGCAGCATAACTCAACAATTATATCCAATCACCATCATCATCATCACCACCACAATCACCACCATCACCATTTGAATACAATGCACCCGCACGCGCATATCATCGACTCCACCAATACCACCCTTGATGCAGGGAAATCTTTCACAATTGCCGCCATTTTGGGTTTACAAAAGAGCGCCATTGAAAGCAATCGCAAGGAATACAACAATGTCATTAACTTGTCACTGAACAGCAGCAATAACAACAATCATCATTCTGCAGACTTAAATATGGACAAAAAGGATGAAAGTCGCTTAATTCATAATTACACCAACAATCACAGCACCACTAACAGCAGCAACAACAACAATAGCTCAAGCAATAATAACAACAACAGCAAGGTAAGCGTTGGCAACAATTTAACAAATTTCAATTTTAATTGTGATAACAACAACGCAACACTGAGCAATGCTTTAGTGAATCGCTATTTGCCGACGGCAGTCGCTGTGGCTGCGGCAGCAAATGCAAACAGCAATGGAGGTGCGCCCTCTGCTTTACAAAGTCTGCAACAATTACACAAACATCACGCACAGCAAACGAATCTGGCATTTCAAAGAGAGAAACTAAAATCAGGTAATTTTTTCATTAAATTATATAGATATAATTATACATATAATAAATTATATATAGATATAATTTAAAATAATTGTGAATAATATATGATTTTGAATTTAATTGCTATTTAATAATTAATAATTTCTTATGTGAAACATTCCCAAAACGAGAACGGGTAAAATTCGGCAATTGTTTTCCTTTACAATCTAAAAAGATTCTTTAAAGTAGCCTCTTGTTAATTTATAAATATCATCTGCTATAAAAGACGGTCCGTATCTTTGATAAATATAAATTGAACGTATCATTTTTTATAATTGATCAAAAATTTGAACATCCCAATACCTTGGTCCGGACCTTGAGTTGGATTTAATACACCAATCCCATCCCCTTATTCTTTCTGGAGTCTTGTTTATCCATTCATACTGTTTAATGGCAAATCCTCGAATTTCCGACAATAAAATAAATGAAAAACTGTTTAATGACGCAAATCATTACATGTAAATGCTTAACTATATTGTATTCCTGACATTATAATATGATTCTGGTTTGAAAACAGCAGATCATTGTTGTTCGATTACCAAAAATTTGTTTAAATTCTTTCTTAAAATGGTTTTTAGTGATACATTGTTTCTGATAAACTTTTATTTTTATTGTGTATAAATTGTATCTGCACATTAGTATCAGTGTACATAATAATAATTTTGATAACAGTTGTAAAATCATCAAGTTTTCAGTTTATTAAAGGGAAAAAGCTATCAGAAGCATCAAAGGTGGACAAGTGGACAGTGCAGATGTTAGCATGGCAAAGACAAGGTGAAATTTACAGATGAAGCGACTTCATTATCTAAGACATCGTTTTCTCGACGGCCTGCTAAATGTAGCGAAGGAAGATCTATTAGATCTCATGTGAAAAACCAAATTGTTTCACATGAATATTACATAGAGTTGTAATGAAAACATCAGTTAGCCTAACTCGCTGCCACTGACGAAATGAGGGAATCACAATAGGCAATAGATGTCTCCATGCTTTTCTTAGCTTAATCTTTTTTTTTTTAATTCATTTTCTCTTATTGTGATCTGTCACGTAAGAATAGACAATAAACAATATTTGAGAGTAAGTGACTAAACACTTAAAATTTTTGTGGGCTTGAATGCACTGCGCTCAGTAGCACATCCGTCTGTTGAAGTCGGTCACAGATTAAAGTTTCAGTGGCGTTTGTTTGCGGAGACGTGTGAACGTTCTTCCTTCTGCTATAATTCTACTGATAAAATGGTTGGGATGATATAACATACGTTTTTTGTGATTTCTGGCTTGGCCTTTTATAACATCCTTAACTAAGGGGATGTTGAGATCACAGTGTATACATTCATTTGTCATGTATCTAGGAGTCAGCTTTTCTAACTTATCACATTTGAGTTACCAACTAAATTCCAAATCTATAGGTATCAAGTTCGAAGCGAAATATAGGTATTTATTTATTGATATTAAATTAGCGTTTTTTCTTCGAAGCCAACATAGACTGCAACTAGTTTTTTAATATGTCAGAATACAAATTGCCAGTATAAGTTAGTAGTGGTTACAATAGTACCATCCCTAAATTATTTTTATTATTAATTACTTATTGATGTAGTTATAATGTTATTAACTATAAATGATTGAAGAAAATAACTTATTAATAAATTTTAGCGAGTGAAACAAGTTGTTGATGGGCAGAAAGATTGTAGATCTAATATATAAAACATATTACTTTGGACAAGATTCCAAAGTTTTTATATTGTATGTATCACTTAAAATTCAAGTCAAAACTCTTTCCTTACAGCATCCTTTCGTGGCTTGCAAGCAGGAAATAGTTGGTAGGGATAGATTCGGAGAATATGTTTAATGAGCAATTAGTGAAAAAACTATTCAAATATAGTTTCTTAAAAAATACATTTTATTTATTTGAAGCCATTTATTATGATTTTATTCCCCACATATACTAATAATGTTATATAAAAATTGCAAGTTATGCCATTCAATTTGCAACAACTTATTTTTGCAGGTTGCAAAATTTCAAGAAAACAATATTTTATTTATATTTTATATTTTAAAATATTTTATTTTATAACATTTATCTAAGAGTATATTTTAGAATATTTTATATTCTTAAATTTAATATTTTATTACAAATAACTTATTGTTATATATCAAATTTTGTCAACGAAAACTCTTCTTAATTTCAGAATCTATTTCAAAAAAATCATCACTTAAAAATAAACGTGTTCGAACCATTTTTACACCAGAACAATTAGAGCGGCTTGAAGCAGAATTCGAGCGGCAACAATATATGGTTGGGCCAGAACGACTTTATTTGGCACATACTTTGCAACTAACAGAGGCTCAAGTAAAAGTTTGGTTCCAAAATCGACGTATCAAATGGCGAAAACACCATTTAGAACTAACACAGCAGCGATTGGCATTACTGCGGCAAACACAAATGCCAGCAAACACCGGAAGTGAAAATACAGCCAATTGCGCAGCACTCATGTCAAACTGTGATGAAGTTGAGGACAAGAAACATAGAGATCAACTTAGCGAATTTAGTGTAAGCCGTCAACCGTCCGAATCCGATTTGTCAGTTTGTAATGATTCAGTGGATGCAAACAGTTTAATTGATGGCGGAGACGACACATAATTATAGTAAATTATAAAAGTTTGAATAATTTTAAATATTATTATTATTATTGTAAATATTTAATATTAGCATGAAAATGTTTAAAATTATCTGCTGCACTTAATTACTGTAATTTCTTTTCATTATAAGATATCCTTTAAACATTAACCTCAATTTGTGTGTTATAATTTAATTCATGTAATTTAAACATATTGTATATAAAAAGAAAGAAAATTTATTAACATAAAAAGTTTTTTAATTACTAACAATCAAATCATTCCATAAAGCTTATATCTATTTTTGTAAAAAGCTGCATTCTAAAATTTAATCATTCGCGCTTGATCTTCCTGTAGGTAGGTTTCATTCGACAAAAACGAACAACTTACTGCATTAATTTGTCCATTAACACAAAGACTTAAAATGTTCAGAATTCGATATAAAACTTGATTAAAGATAAAGGTACTCTACGTATTTGTCGATATCTACTGCTAAAACTGTTGAATCCTGTTTAATAAAATGTTGGATGTTGATATACCTATTTAATTTCATTTAGTGTATATTAATTTACAATAAATTTATTAGAATTGGGTTTCCGGTTCCAAAATTGACATATCTTCTCGATCATATATAAAAAAAACGTTATTCGTCGATACTTCGAAATCATCCATTTTTAAACTTAACGAGTCAAAATACTTTAAAAGTATTTTGACTCTATTTTTTCTGTCAAGAGGTTGGGCATCCTTTATTAATGTCAAGAGGGTGGGCAACCACTATTAGCTTTTCATTAATTTAAAAGAATGTGTCTGAGATGCTTGTTATCAAACAAGATACCTTTATCTGAAATGATTTATTTCAATAAGTGTTGAAAAAAATAATTAAAACTATCAGTACACTGTTGTACTGGCGCTTTCATAATACTACTAGTTTGTACTAATAACATCAACATTGTTAGCTTAAATACCTTATCTGGCAATTTGAACGTTCATATAGAAATTCATTAAATAGAAAGTTAAAAGACAGAAATTAATTTTCTAAACATTGCGCCTTCATTCATTATTTTTTACGCCTTCAGACTAGCTTAATGAAATTACAGCAGATTAATATCAAATCAATATACCATATATCATTCAATGGCAGATATTTAATTTATAATTATTCTTAAATTAAAAATTATATTTCTATTTAATCAATACATCCATCTTTTGGAACATTAAGCATTTTTAATATATTATATAGTTGCTTAATAAAAATTCTGTTACATATTTTTGTGGCACCAAACTAGAAATTTATTCTAATAAAAAGTTGAAAGGCAGAATAAATATTACCGAAAACAGCTTTAACTAAATACATTATAAATACACGCGTTGGTATATAAACGCACGGCAGAGTAATGAATTGTGGAGTTCCCCGAATATATTACCAAGTGATCCTCACTATCCTTTACAGACGATCAAATACCGTTTGCTTCGCCATGCAAAGTTAAGTAAGCAGGTGTGTACTCGTTTTGACATTTGTTGTGCTTATTTTCATACTTTTAATGGCCGGTATTAATGAAACCTTGGTCTCAGGAATGGAAACCCTTCTTCTGACAATATTCTGTCTGCAATCTCAAGTAATGCAATAATTCTAGATCTGTTAGATCCAACGATTGTAAAATTTGATTTCATATATCCATAGTGATTGGAACATTGCATTTTCGACAGCTTGCTGTAATCAGACAAACACCCCCTATATGCAATAAATGATGCATCATTGGTGTATAGATCATAGAGCACTCGCTTTTTGTTACTGGTAATTTGAAAACCCACTACTGTCTACGCTTTTTCCACCTACCACCCGATCAAACTTGATATTGGCTACTTAAATCGATGAATTTTTATTCTTGGTATTAAATAAAAATACACCGATTAGAGTAATGCTTAATTGTTCAAGCTCACCTGATGTAAGCCTCCGTTATACATTCCTACTAGACACCTTTACTCGACCATCACAGTACTACTCCTTTTACAGTCCCTATTCTTTTCATCAGGGCTTTTGTGGTATTGGAATTGTAAAAGCTAGACATAAAATTAAATTATTGTACATGAAAGGATAGTAGCAATATTATCAACTGAAAATAAACATAAATCAAGAAATAGCAGATGAATAAAGTTCCCGCAAAAAGTCTTCTTTAAAATATTTCCATGTTAAAAGAAAAACCACAAATAAAAAATAAATAGATGAAATTAGCCCAAAAGTATAACACTAAAATAAATATTTTTTTTAAATTTAATATTTTGGAATCAATTAAAAAATATAATAAAAGTAATTAATAATCAAAATCTGTTTTTTGAAACACATATTCAAGAATAATAAATATTATTTATATATTTTGAATAAAATTTTATAAGAATATTTATATAAATTAGTGTATGATAAATAACTATAAAAATAACAATATCAAATTCATATTCATTCAATTCATTTTTAAACTTTTATAAAAACATTTAATATAATGTGAATATAATACATATTTTTCTTAAAAATTTGGTTTAATTAGTTATCACAACTGGTCTAATGACTGTGCTGTACTCATACTTAACTTTTTTTCACATAATCTTTTAATATGAATCTGATTTGTTATGTCAGCTTGACGTAATATCTTGCGAATATCAGATAGGCGCTCATATTTATTGGCTAATAGGTAAGCAGATTTAAGCTGACCAATAAACATAAAAGAAGAAATTCGTAAATCTACATTATTGATTTTTTTAACTAAATTATCAAGTACTGCTTTTACTTCCGGTTCATTGCTATGAATAGTAGAATTTATAGCTATGGACAATATTTCGTCAACATCTCGAGTACTTACTCCTCCATTGTTACTTCCCGCGCAACTTAATAATTTTTCTACCTCTGAAATGCGTTGATTTCGAGCCAGGTATTTTGCAGTAGCGGCAAACACTTTTGTCATAGGCAATTTGTAATCCTGAATAATTCTTAAATAAACAACATTGCATGAAAATATTATTATCGTTATATGTTTATGTTACTAATTTACCTGTATACCAAACCAAATCCTTCTTCTATGTTCTTTCCACACAATAAAATTAAAATACAAATTTGTATTTTTTTCTGTGAATTATCGAAAAGTGTAGGTAACATTGAATCTATTCGAATCTATTTAAAATATAATTTAAAAAACAAAATTAATTTCAATAAAATTATATTGATATTAATGAATTATATACTAATATTATTCATTTTTAGACCTAGAAAGATGAAACATAAACTAGGCTAATAAATAGGGCAGACACTAACAAATTGCGGTGAAAAATTGGAGATCTGGACACAGACTAAAAATTACAATACCATGGGTTGATATGCCAACATAAAAGAGACCTTCCACAAAGTAATGCAAAAGCAATTCTGGGGGGAGGGGGCTTTGTCTCTTCATAGTATCTTTATGTGTTAGAGAGTCAGGCTCACCTTTCCGACGATGGTCGGTTTGACGGTGCATAAGGCATTCCAACTTCATATCACAAAAAATTAATTAATTACTTATTATTAAAAAATATAAAATGAGATTTCAGTTTGAAAGGAAGATGCCAGTTTATTTCTTTCTGCATTGATAGATTTAATGTTCAACATAACGAATTAAAACCAATTTTAATTTTAGAATTAAATTAGAAATTTTTGTAGTCTTGTAATGTTACTAGAATATAATTTCCTAGTATGGACTATATAATTTAGATTTTGTTATATAAAAAGTTTTATATTATACTCTTATAATATATTATCAATTTTGGACTTTAATATGGAATTCTATTCCCGGGAAGAATATTTTATTACATTCATATTTATTGGAACAATTAATTTTTTTTTATCTTGAATATTTAAATGTTTTTCACAACTAAAACATTTTTTTAATTCTTTGTACAGAATAATTGTTATTCCTTTTTTATGTTGTTTGCTGTTTTTACCTGTTTTAGGATCTTTATAGTTAGAGGTTCAGCGCCCATACTATCATATTCTTTTTCGCAATTAGCTAAAAATTTGGCCACTTCCATTTGTTTGAGAATTGTATTGATATGACTGTTCAATGAACGACCATCCATCTGCATTTGAATATTAGTGCCCAGTAAAGAAGCATTAGAACGTTGACTATCCGTAGAGTTTTTTCTTCTTTCCGAATTATTTAAATTTATCGCATTCCACTGACAGTTTTCCAATTCTGCTTGTAAGTGAGCATGAGCATTTTGAAGATGTTGCACATTTTCATGCAGTTGTTGGAATTTATGGCAGTTTGAAGTATAAAATTTGACGCAGGTAACGCTAGCACGTACTGGATCGTTGAGTAATATTTGGAGTTGATATAATGAATTTAATAAATTTTGGCTTTCAAGATATCGACAGGTTTGTAGTAGCGCATTTCGCCATATATTTACTCGCCCATCTAACTCTTGCATGTTTGTTATTAATTGTGGCACTCGTCCACAACGAAGGGATAATAGGTATATATTTTGTATAAAAAGATCGGCGTCGAGATTCTATAAAATTTATTCATAACTTAGATATAAATTTTAAAAAAAGTGAAGTTTACACTACCTGAATCAGAAAATACCTTAGTGCTTCATTAACTTTTTCATGTCGCATCAAAAACTGCAAAATATCTGTGTGAGAACCGTAAGTAAGTACATAATGCATGGACTCATCAAAATACTTTGTAGAATTCTTGGAAACATCTTCACCGTAGACCGCTTTTGAGATCATTTTTAAATTACCTAATGTGGTTAAAATATTTAATGCTGGTTCTTGAATTCGTTTGACATAATGCTCTTTGTGACGTGAAAATAAAGAACTAAGTGATATACTCGAATCGCGTATAATGGATGCACGATGAAGAGTTTCGGGTTGTGGTTTTATTGGTGGTAAAGATTCGATTAAGTTTAATACTTCCAGTAAAAGAGCTGGACCACGTTGTGGTCTTTTAATAACTGGTATATTTAATTCCTTATTAACGTCTATCGTATCTGACAGATGTGTATTTTCAGTATCATTAGACAGCTTACGATTTTTTATATATTTATAGATTTTTGAAATAGCAGATTGATTTGCTAATTTTGGCATACAGTAAGAAAATTTTTCACGAGCTGTAATTAAAAAAAAATTTATAAAAAATAATATATTCAATATCAAAAAAATCCTACGAAAAAAATATTTCTTACTACTTATACTTAGTAATCACCTACCAACATCAAAGCATCCTGTTTTTAAGCAAGCTAAACCATGTGCAGCCATAACTCCCGCAGTTGAAAATCCATATTTTAAATGTAACTCAAGTGCTAACTCCCAATTCTCTACTTGCACTAACGAATCAGCTAATCTACATAAACTATTATTGTTGAATGGACCAGTCGATATAAGTGATTCACAACCATTTTGCACTATTGACATTATAATATTGGAATGTTCACGAATAGTTTCCACTTCATCGGGTCCGCCTCTAACCTAGATCAAATAAATAGTCCCGATTAAATTGCAAAATTTAATTTAATGTGTTTGGTTATACTAAAAACTTTATTTACATATTTTATTATAGAGAAATTTTATTAAAGCCGATATTCTAAGTCTGAGTGCTATAAAGTCTTTACTTACCTTTGCTGCTAAAGCTAAACAGTTCATCATTTTTGCTACTAATTCATAATCGATTTCTGGATTTGGTACTATCAGTTTCTCCATTTTTCGACAGTGATATAATAATAAATCAACACATTTTTGCTGCCCTAAATGATGACTCAATATAGAAAGGCACAGAGCAACACTTGGTGCATGGTCGTAGCAGAATTCTTCCCGCAAAAGCTTATCGTGTGTAATGTTACCACTTAACTTCCATTTAAATAAATCTGCATGACGTTTTTGTAGCAAATCAAATCGAGATATTGTATCTGTAGTAATAAGATCAGAATCCCTTGATGTTTTACTTTGAGTTTCAGTAATAATACGCTGACAATCATCACAAATGCGTACCTCTACTTCATCATACAGTTCAGGTATTCGCAAACGATGTGTAGAGCATGCGAAGCAAACCACTCTTCCACATCGACGACAATGATGACGCCTCATTAACATCGTAAATGCTGCACGCTTACAACACATACAATGTGTGGTATCTTCATCTTTCACCCATTCACTTCGTGTTGGTGCATGTTTTGGTAATTGAAAAGCACCACACAGAGAATCAAGAGATTGGTGAAAATCCGTTGATTGAGAGTTACCTTCTGAAGCTGAATTTCTCTCCGATATGTAATAATCTAAAGCTTTTGTAGCATATATGCGCAGTAGCAGATCAATGCATTCGTTCGTTATATAATGATCATATTGGTACAAATTAAAATTAAGTAACATAAATGCAGAGTTTACGGAATTCGCATTATTCGATCCAATTTGAAAATGTACGTTCCGAGGCGAATTAGTGTTTTTGGTATGTATATCATAGACATGGCCACGTTTGTCGAAGCAGTAGATGCAAACATCACTATGTTTATAAACTTTGGTATTATATTCCTGCAAAGTTGGACGCACAAAACCAAGTATTTTTGTTAATGTCTCAAACTTTGCATTCATGATTAACTGTTCAATTATCAAAAGTGGAAATCTTAATAAATGCCAAAACGAATCACGTTCTCTTGGTTTCAGTTGTTCAAATATAATAATTGAAATTGTATAATTTTTTAATTTTTGAATTTCATTTTTGTTATTTTTTACCAAAAATTCAATAGCGTATTTAACTAAGAATAAAGAACGCATTTTATCTTTGTTATTATTTAAAAATTCAATACAGGTTTCATTTGGAAATAGCTCTAATATCTGAAGTAAGTATTTGTTAACTTCTATGTTTTCTGACTGCTCATCATCTTTCAGTTCAAGTAAGATACTCGATAAAACTGATAAAAAAACTGATTTTTGCTGTTTGAAACGATTAGATATATTTACGACTTTGCTCCACTTGTAGCAGAGCTTGTACAAATGCAACTTTAATAACTTCTCAAATATGGCATTCGGAGTTTTTAGGCCAAAATTATACGCTTCTGGCCATAATTCAAATTGCAACACTTCTGAAACTTTAGCATAGATTTTAATATCAGCTAGTGTATCTTTCAGTTGATTTCTTAAGGTTAATGGTATATGTGTAACACTCCTATGGTGTAATGTACTTTCAATCAATTCCTTTGCCAGGCGAGTGGTCTCAATATGTGTAAAATGATCTTTTATTAATTCTGCACGTAACCAAATATCCCTCATATGTAATCCTAAGTTAATATGTTTTGGATTGTGAGCTATTAACTCACTTATGAGATCATCCATGCCCTCAGATCTTTTTTCTTTTGACTCTATGGAAAGATTCAATTGTAAATATATTTAACTTCACATACAACTGTTTATAATGCAAATAAAATATTGTAATTTAATATATATACAATAAATAAAGTAATTATTTTATTCATTTAAAAATGATTTATATAAATTGTATACATAGTTACTAAGATAGAACACAATGTATTTTAACGACTATTATGAAAGTTGTAGATTACAGAAAAAAGAGGAAAGTATATGTTCTGTAGTGGGATCTCTCCTACATAGGTTACTGAACATATTTAACACTAATAATAGCATTAGAATTGAATAGAAGTATCTTTACGCAGAATTGTTTGATACTTCTCCATAGTACTACAACAGTAATCCCATTTTCTATGAAAGACAGACAGAAATAAAATACGAATATGTAAAGGCAGAGATGAATAATGGAAATTGGAATTGTTTGTGGGAAATTATAAGGGCAGGAAATGGAGCTAAGAGTGGCAATGATATCTTTTACAAAAAAAAATTAAGTTTTTTGCTCAATAAGGAACTAGCAACAGTTTTCAGTTTATAGTTTTAGGAGTGATCAGGTCTAGATACTACAGCTCCTTACAGATACAAAGCTCGTTACTCTTTCCAACAGATACCTAACAACCAAGTTCTTCTTAAATATCTGGGTCCAGTATAGCATTGAGCTGCACGTAGCAAAACAACTTTCATCAATAAAGATATATAGAGTATACATACATATAGATACGTATAAATAGTAATACCTATAAATATTTTTGTTTTTCTAATTAATATTTATTTTGTATATATAACAGATTTGTTTACTTACTCAGATTTCCAATTTCAATCATCAATAACTTTACTTTCTCAATATTGTCACATGAATCAACAGAAATTTTTTCAGAAAAAAAATCAGTTTTAAACGCTGCAACAAATTTATTCCCCTCATAAAAATTATTTAACTTCTCTACTTCTTGCAATTTTAAGAAGCGTATCAAGAATTTCGAATTGATTTTCTGATGTTCATCTAACGAAAAATCTCCGTTAATAATCACTCCTTGCAGAAGATACGCCAAAAGTTTATTTTGATTTGATACATAATTAAGAATTGTTGTTTGTTTTTTAAGCGCAACTAAACGACGATTGTTGATGCGTTTGTCCACAATTTCTGGACAAATATTCAAGGCAATAACATGGATCATATTCATATTTAACGCAACTACATTAGCTTCAATTTCCATTGGTGTCATATTGCATTCAAATATTAGATCTCCAATTACTTCATAAGGATCTGTTTTTAAAAGTTCATTCAAGTGATATTCCAAATTGCTATCACGTAATTGCAACAATTTTCTTAACTGCATTACATAAGCGATAAACCGGACATAATAATTAATACTTTTTTGTAACTTTTGAAAATCAAAATTACAAAATTCCAAATTATCGAAACTCCCCAGATCAGATGAAGGTTTATTAAACAAAATATTAAACGTAGATTCACGTTGAAGTTCGGTTTCAAATTTACGTGGCTTAAGAGAATAGTAATTATTACTTAATATATCTTTTAATGAAGTGTAATCATTTTGCGTTAACCGTATACAATCACATAAATTCTGAAGAAGTTGCGCCGCACCAATATTTTTAATCCACTTCGATCGAACAGGCGCATCGTCTTTGCAACTGGAAGTCTTACTCTCAGTCATTTGTTGTTGTCTCCTTATTAACATTAATATACTGGAAGTGATTTCGCGATTAAAAGGCAAATTCAAAATTAAATCTGTAATAACTAATGCATTTAAATTGCGTTCTTCAAATTGTTCCAGAAATGCATATTGCGGATTACTACTGTACTTCGAAAGCAACTGTGTCAGTTTTGGTGTTTGTTTAAGTTTATGAATGAATGAAAAATGTTCAACAACATTTATAATTTTTGAAATTTCAAAACCTATGGCTGCAACATTTCTTATTTGATCCACTGTCGCTTTATTATTACTGTTATCATTCTGTTGCTTATAGTTGGCAAAAATAGTTGTTAGCTTCTGTTTGACCAGCTGATGTTGCTCAACAAAAGATAGTTCATGATTCAATTCGCTGTTCTCCAGATTAAATGTCTAAATATATGAAAATTAAAATTCTTTTAACAGTTATAAAAATGTGTAATAATAACATTTAAAAACTTTAAAATAATATAAAACACCGTTTTCTACAATTTTTTTTGTGTAATCTTGTTTATTTTTCACTGTTTTTGAACACTGACTGCTTGGTAAGCTTGACTGCTTAGGTTTGATTGGTATTTCATATAAATCCAATTTAGTAGTGCAATTCATATACGGTATGGAATTTGCAATGTATGACTTATATAGCTATTTACATAACAAAATTTAAGGTAGCTGTCGAAAAACAAAGTGATGGCAGACATTTTTAAAGTCAAAAGTCAAAACAAAAGTCTCTTCTTCTGGCTTACTTACGCAAAGGCAGTTTGTCGATGTTTCAATATCAACAAGTTAAGCCAAACGAGCAGTGAATAGGGTATGATATTGATATTGAGGACTTTTAAATATTACTTGAGGGTTCTATCATAGTACTCAAAATTAATGATAAATAATATCAGTAAACATGAATTTTAAATAAAATGAGTTTATTAATTTTAGGTCCATTAAACTAATTTTATATTTTAAATTATATTTAGAATGATAAAAAATCAATTTGTAAATTAATTTGTTGCATTGAATTAATTAGTCAATTTTATTTTTACAGATGAACTTTTCATTGCCAATATTATTCCTGCTTTTATTGACAATATTAGCTACAACGTTTGCGATATGGCTAAAACCGATAGAAGTCAGATATCGTTATAAGGAAACATTTTCACTGCTGAGCAACACAACGGATTTCAATGTCAAACTTTAGTAAGAAACAAAGCAGAAGAGACTCAATTGTTAACTAAAACTTAGTTTCGTTCTTGTTGAGCTTTAAAGTAGGAACATAAATGGATTGCAAGACAAATGCAGTCAGATGTAATAATAGGAAGAGTGAGAGTGTGGAGTGTGATGTGGATGGGATGTCACCTCAATCAGGCGAACCCTAAAACAATAAAAGTAAACTTCCTGTGTGGAATGGAAAAATTTAGAAAATTTTTCTACTCTAAGCTGGATCAATAAGCTTTTGTTATACATGGAATTCATCATTTATTCCTAGAAATTGCAGACAGAGGATTCTTAAAAACCTTCATGTGGAGCAAATATACCCTAGAAGACTACAATATTTTCGCTAATGTTGCCTTTGTTAGAATAATTGTCGATGTTTTCATGATACGAAGAATAATAGATTGATTGCATGCAATTTAGTGGAAAGTCTCTACTACTGGCTAAAAATCCTATAATTATTTTATGTATTATTTCGTTCCTAGTATTTTTTTCATGTCAATTTTTTTATATTAAATAAAATATATAAGTTTATGTTTTGTTGATATGGTTAGATAATATTTTAGATATAGTTAAATTTACCTTTACTATGTATTTAGCATCATCGAAATTATTAAGCGATAACGCCATTACGGCGACAGTTTCTGCTGACACCAACATTTTTGGTATTATGCTACGATCAATAAAATAAGCCGCCAAGTCCTGGCTTTTTAATTCAGTGATTACATTAGTTATATTAGAATTGGCGCCTACACTAGCAACCATTATATTGGCTTGAACTCGATTTGTTTCAATTGATTGAATATTATTTCCAATATTCGTAATTAAAGCACCACTTACAGTTGCTCTTCTTCGTTTCTTTGCTGCTTTTCGGCGTGTTAAGCTTCTATAGTTCAGACGTTCTCGACTTTCATCATCGCTTGAAGATTTTTCTTTACAATCGACATGCGTTTTCACTAATTCTATTAATTCTTCAGAATCCATTAAACATTTTTTGTGTGCACCAGAACGCAGCAACGAATCATCAATTTTTTTTAATACTGAATATTTCCATAAAGTGTCCCCAATAATATCAACTATGCGTTGGAAACGTATTTGTATGCATTCAGATGAGTTTTTGTATGCAATTGAATGCAACTTTTTTGTAACAAAGTTCTTGAGGTATGTAAAAATTGTTTGTAACGCACGTCCACTACAAATAAAACCATTTCTATTCCCACTAACTGAGGAAATAGCTAATTGTTGTGTTGAATATTTTGCAGAAATGCTATCTGAACTATCCAAGCTACTTGATCCCTGCGGCTTACTGTAATTTCGTTGAGCATCCATTGCATTGTAGTCAGCAGCGCGCAAGTGATCCCAGCGTAAAAACATTAATTGAAAAATATTTTCAATCAGCGCACAAAGTGTATTTATATTATGCATGAGGCGCATAATGTTACTTAAATCCTGTATTTGGCTTGAATAATCACCCGCATGTGTGGTATCAGTAATTATGTCAAATACTGCAAAAAGTGCAGAATAGTATGTTAGTGCCTCTAATTCTGAATCTTTAAAATTTTTTGTTGAATATATTTCCGGTTGCCATTTATATACTGTTTCAATTAAAGCGTATGTTGCTTCAAAACTATTAAAAAAAAAAACAAATAATACTTGATTTTAAAAAGAAAATATATTAACTTTACCCAGCATTAATTTTATGTTTAAATATTAGTTCTAACATAGTTGAGTTATTATGAAGTGCCTCCACCTTCATGTTTCCAATTTGATCCTGATATTTGACTAAAAATGCCAAGATTGTACAAATGCGTCTAAAATCCATATAGAAAAAGGTATGAACTTCTAAAATATCCTGTGTAGTCTCTGCAGAATTAAATACTTCCATCCATTTTGAGATATTTCCGATTTCTGTTAAAGGCCGACTGGAATCTGCAAACTCATTCGCTATCTTAATTATAAGCAAATTATTTTTGGTAGCAATGTCTGAGATACAGCTTAAATCTACTGCGTTTGTGTATAGTAAAGGGATAAAATGTTTATCGTAAAGTGCTTGTTGAAGTATAAGCTCTTTAGTAGGTAGACCAAAACTACAAATTTCCCAGACATTTTTCTTAAAATAATCGAGAAAACTCAAAAGTAAATTTGGCTCTCTCCGACAAATTAAAGATAAATAAACTTTATCATTTACGGGCTGTACTGCCAGCTTAGATATTAATTTTGAATGTAAAAAGTCTACGTTTAAGATGTCAAAAGGAAAATTTACAAGAAAACTTATAAATTCAGTGGAATTAATGTCTTTATTTAATAATATTTTTAAAGCGTTCGTCACGGATATTGTAAAAAACAACTTTGATCTGGTATGTAAAATTTCAATAATATGTAACGTCGGATATGGATATTTAACGATTAAATTTACAGTCTTGTCTATATGTTTCTCTATACTCTCTCCCCGCTTTATAGACTGCATCAATGACTGTAACAACAATTATTAGTATTTCACAACATACATTATGTGCATTTTACTGAGTCAATCTACTTACATGAACGAATTCCTTTTCTGTGTATGACAAAGCTGTGAAATAATTCTGAAGTGATTTTTCCTCCTGCATTTTAATTCAATTTCTTTATAAATTCGATTTAAATTATTAGTAAATTTATTTTCTTTGTTATAATATTCGCATATTAAAAAATATTTAAAACTAGATTTAAACAAAACAACGTTAAGCCTTAGTAATAAATTTACGCAGGCTCACAAGCTGAATTTTATTAAAGTTTTCTTATTAACTTTAACTTAAAATAAGACATTTTTATATATGAACGAATTTAACAAAACTTGGAAACAAACAATCGACAACTTCTTGATAATTCCTGCACAATACGCTGTTTTTGTTATTTTGCAGAAAACAGCTGAGTTTGTTTTTGTTTGAAAATGCATTACCATGGGCTGCTTTTTATTTAATATTATAGAATATATGAAAGGGACGTGAATTCTATTGTGAATTAAAAAAATTCGATATTGTTTATTTTTGGTTTGCTTTCATTTATTCAGGCAGTGTGCGAGTTCGAGTAAATCTAAATTTCTTAGGAATTTTTGCACTGCACTTATGTAAACATTTGTTTATTTATTTATTGCACTTATTTATTATTATTGGTAAAAAGTTTTTAAATTTATTTTTGTTTTTGCTTATTAAACATCTTATAAAATTTTTGCAATGGTAACACCTAATTTACCCTACTCGAAATTTTGGTAAATACCAACATTCCGATAAAATTTACTATTTCCATTAATTTACCATCAATTTACTCGAACTTGCACACGGCCTTATAATCATTTGAGGTCGATTTCATAGAAATACTAAAGCAATTGACGAAAAGTACTCTTTGATATCTCGTTCAGGCTGCATAATAAATTCCAATTCATGTCATTTATTTTGAGAAATGGCATTAAGTGGAAAACGAATATGTATCATTAAATATAATGCAATTGATGATTCAGATTTATTGCAATACTAGTCTAATTGACATTAGAATATTAGGCTGCATCTCTTTATGCGATAAAGGGTAATACGAAAGAATTAAAAAAGGATTGTTCTAAAATTAGGCATAAAGGTAATATTTGGTTGGTATCAAATATATAAAAAGGTCTACATAAAATGATATTAAAAGAACAAAATAACACTGTAATTTTCTTTACAGCCATTAATCACAATTTCCTGCATGAACATATATTTTGAACATTTACAATAGTTCCATTAATTACAATAAATAAATGACAGGTTAAACTGGATATAACTGGATTTCTATTTCCCTCGTACTAGATTATACCTGCAGAAACAGATAACAGTAAAATGGAAGCAACTTTTTATTTGAATTTTAGTACAAGTTCGCATGGGAACATATCTTTATTTTCTTATGGCAAAACCATGTAAACTAATAAAAATAATTTACAAACAAATAAAAAAAATTTTTTTTTTAAAACAAGACCAAAGAATATGCCTATTTAGTGAAATTTTCCTTAAGATTTAAAATTCAATGATTTTCTTTCATGTTTTCCATTTCACGAAGAGACGGATTCTTTACATCTGGATGGAGGTGATTGCAGATCGAATGGGGAAACCGTACGAGAATATCTTCCACATATTTATGAAAAATTTAGAAATATGTGGATATTATTTTCATATTTAAACTTATAATAAATATGAATTTCATGTTATATCAACAAGTAGCAATAAGTTTTTATAACTTCTTTTATTTCGTTTTTATTAATATAAATATTTTATTTTATAAAATAATTATTATATTTTACTTTGCAAAGTAAAGTATCGCTTACTTTACAGATGGTCCAGCCAAGATTTTATCATGACATGAAAGGTGGACAACTTCTCCGTTTGGATAGCGAACAAACGATGTTTGATTTGTAAATCGCTTCTTACATGCCAAACAAACGCTAAATTCATTTATTTCAACATATTGGATTTCAAATCCCAGTATTTTTTCTTTTGCCCGTTCGATTTCTGCTGTCAGTAGTGCATTCATCATTTCATTATGATGCTGATCTGCTGTTTCGGTACGTATAACTGTATCCAAGTAATTGCACAAAAGATGCAATGGCATATCACTAGGTAAATACTGTAAGTTTAAAAATTTTATAAGAAATAAATAAATAATTAAACAACGAATTAATTGCTACAATTGCTAAAGCTTACTACTTACACTCCACACCTTGAAAGGCTTAATTTTCGTAGCATATCTATTAAGTAAATTTAAAATGATATCTTGATTTGGTGTTGCAAAATCACTGTGTAACACAACGCCTTCATAAGGTGATACCTTTAACGGATTTAATATAATCTTTAATAGTGTTACAAATATTTCGCTGTCATCTGAATAATTATCTTCACAGTATTTTTTAGCTTTTTGCACATCTCCCAAGATATGTACGTAAATCTCTAAAACTTTATCGTGTTTTTTCAATCGTCCCAATATCAATGCCAACTCATCCAACATACTTTGTGATGGGAAATCCTGAAGAATAACATCAGGCGAATAGTAATTAGAATTTTTAAGTATATCAAATAATTTGAAGCGGTACTTTCGAAGCATATCCATTTGTTCACTGAAATTTGCATTTTTTTATTTTTTTATTTTTTTTAATATAGATAACTCTTTACATACCTATCATTTTCACTTGCAGACTTTATTAAGACTTGCACTTTCTCCCGATATTGCAATATTAAAACATTATGTAACAATGTATTGGTATCTTTCCACACATTAATAACGTGCTCTAAATATGGAATGACTAGAGTTTTATGGTGTATAAGTAAAAAATCTAATACACTGGCTCTTGGCAAATTTTCTACTTCTATAAAGTCTTCAATAAATATTCGTAACCCATCTTCAGCATCTTGTTTAAGCACCCAGTTAGCAAATTCAAGAATTAACTGTATATGCGCAGAACCTAACTGTTGCAAATACAAAATAGTTCTATTCGTACCAAACAAACTAGAGCCTTCTTTAGAAGATTGTGCTTGTAATAATTCTAAGGCTTTTCTGTGTTTTCCATTCATTTGATAAAGTATTATTAGTTCCGATAGTTTTTCGTGTTTTTTAAGTGTTTTTTCTGATTCTTCAAGATGACATTGATTTAAACGTAAAAGCGGTCCTATTAACGAATCGTTAGTCTAAATGTAAAGAAATAGTAGTAGAAAATATATATTAAATTAACAACACAAAATAAAAGTTCAGTTTTATTTCACTTCTATTCAGTATTGTAATGTTAAAAAAAAACATTATTTGTATACTAATAAAATGTCTTACCTGAAGATAACACTTCAGTAAAGTAGTGTCAATAATCGATAATAAAGATTTTGAATTGGATTTGGTATCAAGTAATTTAACAACTTCTTTTTGTCTTGCTAAAGCTAAAAATTCAATTAGAGCAAGTAGTGCATTCTCTAAGTCTTTATCCTCTAATTGAGTTACTGGCATAATTGGCACAACAGTGTCATTACCTTGTGTAACCGGTTTATTTGATTGGTCTTGTAAAAGATTAGGAAATAATCTTATAACATCATAAGGATCAGCAGAAGCTTGTTCAAATTCTTTCATGGCAGCAGAAAATAGTTTTTTAGAAAATAATTCCTTTGCATATCGCATATGAATTTGTCGAATAGTTTCAGCTTTCATTTCATTTGGTTCATTTGATATGCTCTATACCAGTAAACAATTTAAAATTGGAAATTTCAATAGTTTTACTTTTCTACTTACAGTTAAATCAATTGCTAATTGAAATTTCTTTTGCTGCAATAGCTGTTGACGTTGTATTGCGATGTCTACTAAACGAATACACCATAATTCAGATGTAGCGGCTGCAAAAATTGTGCCACTTCCTGAACGCACTAAAAATTTTGTTTTATTTAATTCCGGAATTGTTTGTACAAGAGTGTCTTTATTTATACTATTGGTTTCAAGACTTCGAATTTCAATCCCATTCGATACTCGTCCAATAACATAAGGCTCATCCCAAACTGTGGAATTAGCAAAATTAAATATATCACATTTGATTGTAGAATAATTGAAGTACAAACCTAGGTCAAGCAATGAACTACTCCACATTAGGGGTTTTAAGATATTTTTGTTATCCGAATGTTTTGATAAACTATCAAAATTTCCCTGATTAGGTAATTTATTATCTTCTCGTTTAATGTAATCATTCGGATCAATAGCAACTAAATATTCATCTTTTGACATACCCAGTAAACTATTTTTTAGAATGCAAATACTTGGCTCCATGTTATAAGCTGATGACGTTACAATAAGTTCATGTTTTTTTGGAGTTCTTGAATGTATCTGATGTATAATTTAAATAGGTATAAAATATCGTTTTACAGAAGCATATGAATATTATTACATCATATATGACATATTCATCCTTAAACCCAACACATATGACATCGTCAATCCAACATAGTGCCCTTGGTATATCCTTTAATTCAATGGCAAACTCAGGAGCTTGAAGCGCATCAACTTTCCAGTAGAAAAACTGCAAACGACGTTTTATTGCACAACATAATCGTATCACTGGTGCCACCTCCCCTGTAGTAGATTTATGAGTCTGTTAAAACAAATATTCACTAAAGAAGGTGTTTAGTGTAAATTAAAAAATTATATTACTTTAACGTCTAAGCAAAATAGTTGACATCCTTTTGTTTCCGCAGAACTATGTATAAAGGCAAAATTAAATTCATGGTGACTAATATCGCAAGCATGTATAATGTTATCGGTAAGGACAAACAAAAGATGTTCTGAGCTAATCACTTCCATTTGAGAAATAGCCTTTTTGCTAAAGTTTTTATTAAACATTGACATATCGACGGCGCCATTATCATCCACTGAATACATAATTAACTGCCCACTCCGCGTTCCAAGTATGACATTGTTGTCTAAATAAATAATTGGTGACGATTATAAAATATTATTTAAATTCAGTTTTACCAAATGCTGCTATAGACTCAATGTGCACTCCTTGTTTTAAAATCGAATATACATTATATGCTTGATGCATTGTTTTAAAAATTTAAAACAAATTTAGATCGAAGTTTCAATATTTAAATACTTATTAATAATACAAGAATAGTTAATAAGTAATAAGATTTCATTTTTGTATTAAATAAATTTTTGTATTAAATACATTTTATTAAACAAATCTAGAATTTAGTAGCCAAATCACTGAACTGCTCAACTAACTAATATAAACCAGCTGTACACAAATAATAAAGAAAGATTTAAGCAAAGAACACTTCGCAAGAACGGAATCTTTATTGCGTACCAATAGCTCTACAGTTATTTATAACTGTTTAACCGTAAAATCTGCTTCAAATATTGCGACATGAATTTGCAATATATTTCAATAGTATTAAACCAGTTTGAGAGTTGGTTCGAAAGGTTCTCCGAAAATCACAGACCTCAACCACTTATACATCTTTAAAAAAAGAAATATAGTGTAAGAAATAAACAGAAAACTGTGATTATTAACATTTATATGAAAACAATTGATATTTTTCAAATTTCAAAATATTTTAAAGATATAGTAATATTCAGATTTTTGTTACAAAACAAGCAAAACATTTTATTTGTCAATTAACGTCGATAAAGTAAGCAAGATTAATCTGTTTTTTAATTATCATAATAAATCACATCAGATGAAACTGTAGTAAACACGAATGAAATGTTTAATCCAAATAAAACGCTGTATAAAAATATTAAATCAAAAAATCTTATATCTTAAATCTCATTTAGGCGATTTTGCTCATTATAACCGCTAATGAGCATAATTTATCATACCAAGTGCTTTCATATAAATGAGCATATAATCAATGAATCAACTCATTTAAGGTGAAAAATGTCGAATGCAACCCTTAAAAATAAATTTCCTGCAAGGGAAATTGCCAAAATTTAAAAAAATGTGAATATCTAATTGATATATGCAATGTATATAATTGATTTAATATATATATTATATATTTATTTTTTGTGTGATATATTAATAACTGAAGTTTATAAAAGTTCTATCATTATAATCTGAGCTCATTAATATAAATGAGCAAGAGCCTTAATGAGACAGCCTGAATGTACTATTAGAAATTTTTTGCAATATATATTCAAAATTTTGTGTAATGAAGTAACAATATTACGCAATGCTAAAACAAAAAACCACAAAAGTTTTCCCAACCCAATTGTATTATTTTGTCTGCAGGTCTCAACATGGCCTTTGCTATGACGTTTACCGTTATTTATTTTGAATTTTTACCATTAAGGACTTGTAAGAGTTAGGCTAAGTTGCGTTCTAAATGAGGGAAATTCTAAGTTGTGCCGATAATGTAGTGATGTGTCGATACGAGTTCATAAACGGCTATATGTGTGCAGTACAAAAAATCCCAAAAAATCTCCCATTTGGTTTAGCATCAACTTAGCCTAACTCGCACACCTCCTAAAAATTCCTTTTGTGAAAACTTGTCACAATTTTGGCATATAGAAAAACTTCAATTTTGCCATAAATTTGTTAGCTATTATTATAGTTATTATTATTTTTTCATTTAAGGACGTGTGCGAGTTAGGCTAAGTTGATGCTAAACCAAATGGGAGATTTTTTGGGATTTTTTGCACTGCACACATTTAGCCATTTATCTACACGTATCGACACATCACTACATTATCGGCACAACTTAGAATTTCCCTCATTTAAAACACAACTTAGCCGAAATCGCGCACGTCCTAAGTAAGAATTTTGCAACCGGTATAGCAAAATATGATCTTAAACTGATGTATTAATATCATATCTTCATTTGACTAGTAAAATTATTTTACTAAATCCTATAAATTTTTCACTAACTATATAAATAATTTACCATTTTTCTTTTAATGGCTATATGTTGGTTTTCAGTCACACCAATTTTAATTTTTGATAATTGTGGTATGATGAATATATAAAAGAAATTTTCTTGCAATATAAGAAATTTTGAATTTTTCTTATATGGCGTTTACATTGGCCGAAAATGGCTCATTTTGAATGAGCCATTTGAAAGTGTTTACATTCGTTCTATTTCATTTGTTCTCATTTCAACAGCTGATTTTTCAACTTGCATGTTGATTTGATTTTTGGCCTGTGCCAAAAAAATGTTGCATGAAGGTTAAATATGCCTTCAAACCTTACATTAGAAACTTAAAACATATTTTTAACTTCGATTAATTACTTTTTGGGAAGTAAAAGTTTTAAAAAGCAGTGCATCGTTTTCAAGAAAATGCAACCACCAAACATTTGTTTACCTTTTTTTGTAAATATGTTAAAAACAGCTTTTTCAAACTGTCAAAATGCCATGAAGAGCTTTCATTTAGGGTATGTTCAATGGATTCCTTTACATTTGGAACGTATGTGGAATGCATTCGAACGTCATTCATACAGAATGTGAGAAAATTGTTCATTTTTGTGCTTGAAATTTTATATGCAAGAATGAGCCATTCGATACTCATTTTCGATTTTTGACCAAAATGAGCCATTTTCGGCCAATGTAAACGCCGTATTAAAAGTTTCGTTTATGTATATTATATGATATGTTGACTCAAAAATGTACTCATACTGAATTTACTACATGTACAAAGTATATAAAACAGCAACCCTCTTACAGAAATGTCAATAGTAGAACAACAAAAAAGGAAGTATCGAAGGAGTTGTTAAAAAGTTTCCGGTAGCAGAACTTGGATATTTTGTGATATCTATTGTTATAATAAATATTAGTAAGCATAATTACTATCATTTCAAACTAAGCAACTAAATGAAATAATGTTATAATTAATACTAATTAAAAATAATGCTTATTTTTGCAGTATAAAACAGTGTTTTTAATACATTACTGATTGTGGACTTTATGTGAATATTATAGCATATTCCTAGAATATAGGAAAATCTTAATTATTTTTTATTTACATCGGCCATACAGTTGTTATTCGTTACTTTAAAAATGTGTGTATGTGAATATGTTTACACCTAGTCTACCCACATAATTGGAGTTTGGGTTTTCCTTTCATAAAGCAATCAACAGATGTTGAACTTTACCGTATTTCATTTGCTAAGTAAATTATATTTCTTTATAGACATTTATACGCAAAAGATTTTAAATATTCTACCAATATTATAAATTTAAATTAAAACAACTATTAAATTTTTTATCTTTATTTTATAAGTACATTTTACAATGTACAAACATCTCCAACCCAATCACTATTTTCATTTAATAAGAATATTAACAATTTAAATCATTTTTATTTATTTATATACTTTAAACACATAATTATTTTTTATGTTATAAACTGACGTTTGCTTGTCACAAAATTCGTTAAAACTTTCAAACTGGCAGGGATCGTCATATACTGCCGATTTATAAATTCTTAAGCTTCCTTGGACGGTAGTGTGCATATACCGAGAGCTGCAAGTTTAGTATTTATACCTCCCTCAAGACGGTCAATGTTCTGAAGTAATGAAGAAGAAATCATACGTCTGTTGCATGTTATAATCCAACTGGTCTGATACAGATTTGCTAATTTGGCACTTTAACCAACTTAGTTCGAAGAAAGTAATCTAGCCAGTTACTTGTATTTTACTATAATTTACTGTAACTGTAATTTAACCCCTTACTTTTATTTGTTATTATTGTTTTCTTTTGTTTTTTATTTATTACAAATTTGGCACAAACCAATTTGTTCAAGGTTTCTTTGGCACTTTAACCAAAGAAAACACTTATATATATGAATACTGATTAGTTCTTTATAAGCTTTTATACAAAAATCTTAGCATTACGCTTATGATAAAAGAGGAAATGCACCTAATTCCCATGATTTGCTATCCAATAGACCTTGAGAATTCAAGACTAAAGGCACTCGTGAGAATTCTATGCATTACTTGAGCTTACACTGTCTGCTTAATACAGTAAAATTAGCAAGCTGGTATACGTGTTTTGATATATTATTAATTTGGTGAATTAAATGTGTTATCACTTATGCCATGTGCCAACTCATATTGTACCTGTGGGAACAATAGAATTTTTACAGAGGCATGCCAATTGCTGTAATCATACAGAACGACCGTTAAAGGAAAGCTAATGCTTATCAACCGTACACAGTGGCTTGTGAAGATGGTCATATTACGTCTGACACGCTGATAGCATATGAACAATATTTATTTGTGAGAACATACATATTTGATAACACATACATTTTTTTTTGCAAATATTTATTTTACGACAATAACCAAATTTAAATAATATTTATACTACATAACAAACAATTAACTTCCAGTGTTGCAAACTTAGCATTTAAGATCTAATCAGAATTTTAGCTTATACTTATCGAGTATCTTATAACTACCTACCTCTATAATCGAAATATAATATATATATAAAATTTCTATAATTTACACATATTGCAATATCTTTGCAATATTTTGATGTCAAAATTGCTCGCTGTACTTCACACCTGAATTGCATATATCCAGATCGGTTTAAAAATGGCCTTGTAGAGTCTTACTGTTTTTTTAAGAGAATTTCGTCCAAGTAACTAATACATTTTTTTAGCTTTGATACTAAGCTGCCTGCGTTTAGCTTTAATGTGAACATTCCACGTCAATTTACGATTAAGGTGAACACCAAGATATTTATTTGTGTCTCTGTATGATATTTGCTGATTGTTTAAAAACACTGGCGGACAATTTCCCCTTCAGAGCGCAAATGTCGCATATATAGACTTGTTTGGATTTATTTTTATTTTCCATATTTTAGTCATGTCGATAAGATCCACAATTCTTTTTGGACAAATTGAGAACCGCCTGATGATGTTTCACTTGTTGCAATGAACGCTGTGTCATCAGAATAGGTAGATACTTTCACACCAGCTAGAACACGAATGTCTGTTGTAAAGAGAGTATAAGAGATGGGCTCTAGTACACTTCCTTGTAGCACGCCTGCATTGATTACGTAAAGCTTTGAATTTTCACCCTGCTGTATCTCTTGAAGATGAAGTATCTCTTGTATCCCTAGAAGTATCTCTTGTCAAGATAGGATCTGATAAGTAAAAAATATAACGCAGAAAGTTGTGCTTTTATCTAAAACATTATAAAAATAAGAATTTAATTTAGACAATTATACAAACAATAATAAGCAATAAACTTATTTTCTAATAATAAATATAATATACAACAACAGTCTATCACTTTACCTTTTCATTACTGAATATTAGTTTTTCTGTAGAATAATATAACTTCATTATTTTTAAAAGTCAAACTTAAATATAAAAAATATTGTATTGGAATTGTTTTCATTATCTTTAAGTTATATTGCAAGAAGAATATTCTCTTGGTGACCCGACCTCAATACGCCAATGTTGTTTAAACTAACTATTAAACTATTAAAACTAAATAAGTGTGTAATATTATATATTTATTTCAAATCTTCTTCTTATATAGATCTATTCAGACGGTTCTAATTGCTAAATACCTAAATGGTACATAGCGAAAATGCGGATTCGACCTGGCATGGGACGCAAGTCCAGCAACAAAAATCCACAGATTTTCAGTCACGAATTCGTCATACATAATCATGCGGATATAGTATCTTGTTTAGTTATGATCTTTGTGGTTGGACTGTTGGATGAGGTAAGATAAATTTAAAATCACAAAACTTTCAAATAAGAATGCTTTTCTGTTAACGGTTTTAAAATTTTACTTTATATATCAGACAACTTCACATTTTACTAGTGCTTTTGTTACCCTACAACACAATGTAACGGGCCAAGATTCTTCCCGTGACAATCCAACGTATGTTTTATCATATAGATTTTACAATATATACATACATATATACATTCATATATATATATATATATATATATATATATAATATATATATATATATATATATATAGATATAATAATACTACCTAATTTCAGTGGAAGAACTTATACGTATGTTGCAGGCATAAAGGACTACTGTTCTGTTTTTTTCTATACACTAACATGCATAATTATGCATGCAATTATACAGGAATTTTTATTAGATGTAAGATCGTAAAATTATTTTATTTGACAGAATAATGGATTAAATAATTATTTTATTTTATATAGAAATGCACGAAAAAACTACATTTGTCTAAGTATAAGTTAGCTATCTTCAATGAATCTGGACAATTAATTGTGTTTTACATAATATCAGTTTTCTGGGGTGGGAGAGTCATACTTCGAGAAGGTTACTTTACCCAATTTTCACTGCTATGGGAAGACTTTCCCAAACATCCTATGACATATATGCACAAATTCTTTTTCATTATACAAATGGCTTACTATTTGCACATGTTGCCGGAACTTTATTTTCAAAAAGTGAAAAAAGAAGACCAACAATCGAAAATATTACATTCCATATTTGGATTTGGTATTATTTGTTTGGCGTATAGTTTTGGGTAAGAGTTAAAATGTTTAATTTACTCATCGTTATTTAATTAAAATATATTTGTTTTGAAATTTAGTTTTCAACGCATTACCATTGTTTTGCTCACATTGCATTATGTTGGTGAAATAGTTACACATATCTTCCAGTTAATCGATATTTTTGATCGCAATGAGAAATTACTTAATCTTCGTGTTTTAAATAGTTTTACGTTCGTATCTGTACGTTTTCTAAATATGGTTATTGGAGTCTTGACTCTTTATTATGGCATCGCTAACACTGAGAGTACCATGCGTGCCCTTTTCGCACTATTTGGTCTAATTGTTCTACAAGGATATTTGATATTTTCTTTTATTACTGAATATTTCCGAATGAAACGTGAAGAGCAACGAGAAGCAAGGAATCATCAACTAAGAAAACCGAAATCATCGAAAGACAAATTAAAACGAAGAAAAGAAAGTGATTTGCCTGAAGTCGATCAGCATCGAATGTTAAAATAAATACATTGTATAAAGCTCATTACTTTTAATTTATGCTATCTTTTTACAAAATAAATATCTACAAAAACTTCAAATTATTTTACTTCTTAACTGTAATATAAGTAATGATTACCGTTGTTACATTTTTTGTGTTTTTTTTTAACAGAATTTATATAATTAGGTTTACTTATTAATAATTTGAGTTGTTAATTTGTTAAATTTTGTTAGAATATTTTTATTCCAAATGATTGGGATCTATTCAAAAATCTATATCATCGGACTTTATTTAATAAAGAATACTGCCTATACAGCATTTTGTATATTAGCACTTTCATACAAGATTGATACATATGAAGAATGGTTAGTAATATTGCAGAAATTTTAAAATAAAAATAAACCAAACAACAAGAAATATTTACTTCTAAAGTAAAATAGTATTACTTCCAAGATATTTAGCTAATAGATAAGCTATTTTAACAATAACGATATAAAGAAATAGAAAAATTAGAAAGTTAATTTAATAAATTTATGAAAGTCAAAATTGTTGTGCATTAGAAGAGTACCAATAAAAAGTGAACAATTTCACGTCAATGTTTCCTTTTGGAATATGTTTTTATTTTTGAATATACTTTAATGCATTTTTATAGACCTTTAACATAAACAAGCATATTAATATTCTTTTATTAAAACAGATCTTATTAATTACAAGTTAAAAAGCGTTATTAAACATCATTATTATTAATCAATTTATTTAAATAGTATTATATCGGTTTAAAACGAGCTGGCAGCATTAACACCGATTGACAACAATTTATATAAAACAAGAGCGGAGTGAAGAATCTGTTGTAGTTTGTTTTTTAATTATTTCATAAAGTAATGGATTCCGAAAGTAATCTATAGAAATTCAAAATAAATAGTTTTTTGTTTATAATAATAATATAAATCATTTACAGTTCACACTGATATATTTACAGAAGCACTTGAAGTATTTTTGAATCAAATTTTATACTTGCGCCGAGTGTATCCTTCACAAATATTTAAAAAAAGAAGAATTTACAACACACCAATTTTTATTTCCATTTATCCGCCACTGAACGAGTATCTTATAAAAGTATTACAAATGGTTCGTGAACTACATTGCAACGGAGTACTAACACGTGTTGATCTATTACTGTATAAAAATGAAAATGAAATTCATGAACGGTACACATTTAATTTTAGAAAGCATACACCAGAAGATTTATTGGATCTCCCTCAAAATGATGAGTTTTTAATTAAATACGAAGAAATTTTGAGAACATCACTGTACACAATGGCCGAGCGCCTAAAATCACTGGAAAGTCTACCTCAAGATATCAGATTTAAAGTATTTTTCCACACCACTCAAGAGTGTTTTATTCGATTTAGTCAAAATCCACAATATCAAGTAAATTATTAGTTATAATTGAAAACAATTTAAAATTAAAAGTTTAATTTAGGAATTTCCATGGGTAATAGATTCGTCTGAAAATATACATAGCAAAAACCAAATCTCACTATTACCTCTAGCAATTTTGGATAAAGTTGGAATACAGATAATGGCCGAAATAATATTGTAGTAATCCTATGAGGACTTGTTAAAATCCATTATATTAGGAAAAGCCACTCAACAAGAATAAATTACATACTAAAAAATTACGGAAACCTTTTCTACTGCAATCCACTATAACAGTTAATATTTTAAACAAATAAAAATTAATTTTCTATGATTTATATAGTTTATTTATACAGTTGTATAATTGAAATAAACGCGTTAGAGTAAACCTTGCCTTTTAAGATCTTCATATGTTTTACGATTTACTACGTTACCCAGCGAATCTTCAAATTCCTCTTCCTGGTCAGCAATCCAACGTTCGCTTTGTTTTTGTGATTTCAACTTTTCCCATAATGTAATTGCATCTTCAATTTGGGTAACATTAGCAAAATGAGCTGTATTAGGTATACCAAGGCAACGCATTCCGTGCGCATGTCGCCATTCAGCAAAATGTCGCTGAAAAGCTTTTGGCCCTTTATATGTGAAGTTTCCGCATATTTCACAATTGTAACTAATATTTAAACCATGTAATTTGTACAACCAATAGGGTATGGGTTTACCATCCCAACCTAAAGGAAGATTTTTTGGGTTGTACGGTACATCGTCTGCATCGGCATCGTCATCGTTATCGCTTTCACTTGCTTCTACGTCGCTATCATCGCGTTCGCCACCGGTGCGAGCTTGTTTTCTCTGTACATTTTCTTTAGTGGCAGCACGTTGTTCTGATACTAATTCTGCGTATTTATATAAATATGCTTCTAATTGTGCTATTTCTTTATGGCGTTCATTGTCTTTGGAACGGATATTTGAATTTTTTGTTGATTGCTTTTTTGCCATTAAAGATGGATCTAACATTTTTTTGCCTTTTGTTGAAAACAATCTTTGTGCACGTTCTTCTAAAGTTCCACCACATTTTAAACCTAACGCCATCAAAGCAGATTTTAAACGATCGAGACCTAAAGAAGCCAATTCCTCCCAACTGGAAAAAGCAGAAAGGTCAAGATGTGCACCAGTGTTTGCTAGAGCAGATTCAGTTTCTTTTGATGTCCAACCTATTTAAAAAATTGTACATAAAAAACTAACAATAACAGTAATGCTTATTATTACCTATAAATGTTCCTTGTAACCACTGTCGTTGAAAATCAACCTCGACTTTTACAATTTCAGCTTCTACATCCAGTAACGGTTGTATGCGGACCACGAAGTTATATAGATATTCGTTTAGAGTCTCAATGTATTTCCGATAATCACGATTTTTACGCTCCCGAGGTATGTCGAAAACATGGTCAAAAGTTACTAAATATGATATATAATCTATCTTCTCTACACCGCGTAAGTTCATATACATTTCAAAACATTCATTGAGATCAAGATACCGGCCACCGCCTTCTTCATCAGTAAATTCAACTAAAGCTGACATCTCATCTGGATTATTATAGGCTTTTGTTAATTCTTCAAATTCAACTGATAGAGGAATGCAAACTTCGGCAGGATGTTTTTTGTAAAATTCCTTTATTTGTTTTAGTCGAATGTAAAATTCGTTGAACTCATTTGGACCGGACAATGCCTGAATTTCTTCTTTGCGCTCATTATCTTTGTCTTCATATAAGTCCCTTAACTTGGATGTGGAGTTCAAGTGAAGATCTAATAAATATTTAAGGCGGTGTTCAGAAAAAATACGCTCCTTTTCATTAAGTTTTTTATTTGCATACTCGTCAATCATTAGTTTCAATAAACGTTCTCGCTCTTCGTGATAACGTCTCTGTTGCTCAAGTAATGTTTCCATTGTTTATGTATGAATTCCGAATATTTTGACCTTTTATAAATGATTAAATACTTTATTATTTTGTTTATAAAATGTATGATACGTTGTATGAATGTTGTTTCTGGTGCTAAAACTTCAACATTCGCTACATTCAATTATCAGTGATGCCAGACTAAAATAATTTATAAAAAAATTTTTAAAAACAATTTAGATGTTTGCGTAAACTGTAAATGTGTTGCAAACAGATAAAAATTTGTATAAATCTAATGGAGTCCTCATTGATAAATTCAAAGGGGTATTACGCAATCGAGTATCTTATCGACTTGGTGCACTAAAATGTGAACATTCAACCAAGTCTCATGGCGCTTTTAGCACACCTTTTTTTAGTACATTCACACTGACTCGTTTAGGCAATTGCTAATTTACATTATTCACTAAATAATGTAATGTTCACATTTTAATGAGCTAATAGAACTTTTATGTAAAATAAATAAACTTTACTTTATAATAAATCCTATAAAAAATTATATATATGATTAATATATTAAATCATTTATATAGATTGTATATTATCAATTACATATTCAATTATTAAAAATAAAATTTTTATCAAATACATATTTACTTCCTTAGTGCCTTTGGTTACAGCTCAGCTGTTGTTTGTTTACATTTTATTTTCAAGGATTGCATTCGACATATTTCGCCTTAAATGAGTTGATTTTTTGATAATGAGCTGACTTGTATGAAAGTTCTTTGTATGATAAATTATCCTCATTAGTGGCTTTAATTAGCGAAACCGCCTTAATGACAGTGTGAATTTACTATAACTAAATAACCTAATAAATATGGCAAATAAGTTAACCAGTCTTAACACAGATTAAACATTGGCAAGATTTTTGAATACACCCTCATTTCTTTTCTTACACTTTTAAATTATTGCTTGTACACTAATTGGCAACAGAAAAATCTTGTGAAAGTGAAGCCAGTATAAACAGCAAGTTAAATACGGTAATCTAAACATACTATTAATTTATGACTTGTATCAAATAATATAAGGTGGATTCTTTTGAAATGTAATTTTTAATTAACACAGAAATTAAAAGTTTTTTAATAAATAATTAACTTCTACACAATTACTAAATTTTCAATCATTTTCACAAATTTTATTAAAGACTTTTTTAATATATTAAAATTTACTTACTAACACCCACCACAGTTGTAAATAATAAACAGCAGACTGGAGTTTTCCATTTTCTTCCAAAAATCATTCACAATAGATTAGTTTTAAGATTTGGCACCATTGTAGTGTGAGAGGTTTACTCTTTAATCACTTTCAGAAGAGTTGGCTTATTTTTGCGAATTTTTTTTTGCTTTGCATGTTAATTTTTAAGCGACACGTGTTCTATTGGAGCATTCATGTCAAAAGTAATAATAAATAAAATATTGTATATAAATAATAATACATAATAAAATTAAATTTTATTTTTGACTTGATATTTATTATAGAAATATACTATTTTAAATTCCATTTTTACCCATATTACGTGCAATCAGTTTGTATTGGACTCTTCCAAGGTACAGAATTAGTTAACATACCTGGCAAACATATTCGCCTTAAAAGTTTTGCAAAGAATATCAACGTCAATAATCTGTGAGATGTAAGTAGAAAATGTCAAAAAGAAAAAACGCGTTTAGCAAATATTGCGTGGGGAAAGGTTTCTTCCAATACGGCTTTCTGTATTTTGTTAAACGCGATATTTAACTCATTAATAATTACAAAAGAAAACAACAAAGTCAATTTAAAGTAAAATGACTCTATATATGAATTAGTGGATTGATTTATTTATAACAAAATCCGAACAAAAGTACCCAAAGAAAAATAAAACATACAAAATTCAAAATGGCTGCCATGCTATGTCACAAATAAAAAATTTCTGTACAGTGTGAAGCGTCGACGAAGAAAGAAAAATTTGTATTCGCCGTAAATTTTACCTGTTTTTGCATTTTAAAACAATAAAATTTATTTTATTACAAACAAATAAACAAATTCAAATGTGTACTGTAAACAAAAAGTGTAAATAAAAAGGAAACCTATGAAACCAAGAATGTTTTGAATGAAAACGAAAAATGAGTGATTGTAGTTTTAATTAGGATTGTGCAAACGAAGTAAAATTGCATTAATTATATGTGAAAAAAAATATATATGTATGTATATGCATATATATATATTTATATATAAATAAATAACATAGTTATAATAAGTTAATGTTAGTATTAATATAATAGATTATTATAAAAGAAAAATTTTTTAAAAATTATGTCAAATTACAAATTTGGAAAATTGAGCGCATTTAATATGAAATGATTTTTGGACTGGTCTTCACATTTTATTTTGGGTTTATACCTATTTAGATAATTGTGTTGTTGTCTTTCAAAAACACTTTACAAAATTATAATTAATGTGTCAAAAAATGTTTTTTCCGTCAAAAAAATTATAATAAAACAAATTTGATATATTATTAAAACTAAAGAACGAGCATTTTTTTTAACATCTAAACATGAGTTCAGCCATGGAGTTAGAAGAGCTAGAAAATCTTAGCAAAAGTGACTTTTTACCACTTATACCGCTTATCAAGCAGGAACAAATTGACACTGTTATGCCAGAAGCTAATGCACAAGAGCAGTTGTCAACAACTGGGAGTGGTGCAACGGCATTAACATCATCCTCCATTGGTAATCCTTGTGATAGTGCAGAAAAGCGGGTAAGAGAATTTATAACTTTTCAAGTAAAACTAAACGATTAAAATAACTGCAAAGGTGATATCATTAAATTAAAAAAAAAAAAAACCAATAATATTTACTCAGCTTAAATTAAAAATAGACAAACTAAACATTCTTTTAATAATATAGAATTTATTCTATCATTTCTGCACGTGATTTATATACCCTAGTTGGTTTTTTTATTATTAACACCATCATTTCACTTTTCTTAACTTTGAGTATTTAGCGAATTCTGTCTAAAAAGCCAATAAAAAATAATATGGAAAGTTTGTTGAACCATGTAGCTGAAAATATTTATCCAAGTTATTATGAATAGTTAAAATATTGATTTTAACACAAACAAGTAATTTAATAGCTTAAACGATAATATTGAGTTTGATTTGAATAATGACAGCTATAGTGCATGTGGAAAATATATCACTTTTCGTGTCATAGAACTAGTAAGATTTTTATTAGTGACGGTCAATCATATAGATAAGGTACCTATACTCGCTCATTCATTAGTAAAGGGTAGGTAAACTGGCTAATAAGTTAATCTTATTGGGTTATAATAAAATACACGATTCTTATAAAAATAAAATATATAAAACTTTAATTTGCTCTAAATTTTCATGAGATTATATACACGAAAATAATAAGTGTTCTTTTTTATTTATATTTTTATAAGATTTTTCGTTGATAATATATATATGTATTATTTGTACATAGAAATTTTTTCCGATTAAGCCAAATTAAATATTTTTGCTTTGTGCCTTAGTTGAAAGCACTTATACACATTTTCATTTTCTTGTCCACACAGTATACTTTCATTACATTATCTTCATCTCTTTATACTGACGTTCCATGAAAGACAAAATCTAATGGCAATATAATAAATCTCAAAATATATGTATGTATGTAAGCAGCGTAAAACTTGAAAAAAAAAATATTAAGCGATTAAATTCGATAATGCTTTTATAACTATGTATAAAAAAAGAAAAAAAATAAAAAAAGAATTCACATGGAGTTGTAAGCATATGTGAAAATGTGATAGATAAGTTAAGTGTAGTGGTCGTAAAGCGATGTTATAAGATTTATTACTCCGCTTTTATATCGCATGGTCTTAGCCCATGATGAATATATTGTTTGTCCTATTGGTATACAGTATTTACTTTTAAAGCATACGTGTGTTTTTACCTATTGAGTATGGTATAAGTATCCTTTCAGATGATGAATCCATTTGCAAAGCTCCGCAAAAGTATATATATATTGATATATTGTTAATATATATATTAACAAGACCTTTTTTTTTTAATAAAAGGTACTGAACTAGCCTAAATTGTTCTATTTTCTGTGTCCAGAATGTATTTTAGTTTCCTATACCTAAGACTCAGACGTACACTCAAATGTATTGTTATAGAAAATTTTTAAAAATGTTATTAGCCCTTTTCAAACTATTGATATATTGAAGAGGGAGGGGAATATGATTAAACCTCTATAATTTAAATTTAATACATTTTTTTTATTTGATACAGACGCATCAACAATATTTCTGTTTATGACAGTGTATCTATAAACTACTACACACAAACGTTATATCCGATTATACAAAAGAAAAGATATGTTAAGCTTCAACTTTCACGATAGTGTATACGAAACTAAACACGTTTTTAACTGTTATGTGGTCACTGTTGTGAATAGGACTATTAACATTTATTGTTTATTTATTATTTATAGTTAATATTAAAATCGTCTGTATAAATCACCACATGATATCTACTTCCTTCTGTGTTCCTGAGAACTTTATTTTATATGTAGGTCTATAGAAAGATAGATTTGATAAAATCTTGTGGATTAATTCTTTTAATGAACAATGTCATAGACAGTACATCCAGTTTTGTTCTGCATTGCAATGTTAGTCAATGAATAAGTAAGCAATAATATGTTGCTAAATTTCACCAGCGTGTCTGTGTTTATTGGGATTTTATTGAAGTCACATTGAATTTTATGGACGACCGCTAGTGCATAATGTCTTTTTCCCTCTTTTTTTTTTGGGAAGTTCTGACAATAGTAGTCTCTTTTGACTACATTTGACTAGCATTTCTTTTGATCTCTTTTGAAGAAATGCTGCTTATCGAGAGACGTGATATGATATGATAGACGTAATGTTATAGGATACTTAATACTGCAGTGGTTCATGAAATAATTATAGGAAGTGGGCAGATTAGATAAAATTATGTGAACATATATATTTTTATATAATGTAATTGTATTGTCTGTTTATCTAGTATTTTTGTAATACAAAAAATGATCTTCCATTTATCATTGCAGTAATTAGTCTTACTATCTTACATATATAGCAGTTATGTAAGAAATAATTTGTTTTATCGATTTTTTCAGTTACAATCTTTTTAAATGTTAATTATTCTCTGTAATTACATTCAGACAAATTTGTTGTGGTTATGCCTGAAGAGATAACTCCGTTTGATACATTATGTACCTTTATTATTTGAGTCAAAACAGTTAATACTGCAGTTTGTTATTAAACTATGTTCAGTAATTCGAACCGAAACTAAAAAATTGATATTATTATTAGAATAAAAACTGAAACAGACTGGTATATTTTATTTTTATTGAACTGGAATGACAGCTTTTCGAGGTGTCTGCTATAATTAAGCCAAGCCAACCAAAGATATATCTTCGTTATAATGCTAAATGTATGACAATTTTTTTTCGCGGTCGTTTCTATTTCTTCTCCTGTTAGCATATATTTTAATTTTTCATTATTAATTTGTTAAGAATATTCACTGAATTTTATACGGAATTATGATATGGAATGATATGAAGTTCTGCAAATAGATTTCATGGATCTTATTGTTTTATATTTGTAACTTATAATATTGCACGTGCTAATCTCTGAATAACAGAATGCACTTATTCTGATTTAAAGCATTGTAATTGCAGTTAGATTTGTGTGACTACAGTTTCTGCATTTCTACAATGAATTTATTTTTTTATTATTTTTTATTACTTCTTGAATTCTAAAAGGTTAGCGACCCCTATTATAAACCTCATTTTAGAGGTTTATAATTCAGAAGTAATAAATAATAAAAGTATGAACTGCCTTTCTTAATTCCTACTTGGTCAAGTTGTAAAACGAAACTGCAAAAGCAGCTAATTTAGTTTTTGTTTGTTTTGTTGTTTATAAAAATAGGCAAATAACAAAAACAAAAAAAAATTGAAATCAATAACTAAAGTAATTTGTTCATTTATTTAATTTTTTATACTATTAATATTTATTTATTATACTTTAAACATTTTACACTCTTTGATTATTAGAATTAACCGATATTTTCATAGTACCAAAAAATCATTAGACCTGATGTCTCGGTATATTTGGTTACTAGGTAATGTTTTAATTTCACAAAAATAAACACACGTCTGAATACCACTATGTATGGTAAAAATTTTTTTTTTATTCTTTTTTAATTTTTTTTAAAATTTTTTTATTTTTTTTTTTAATTATTTTTATTTTTTTTTAAATTTTTTTTTTATTTTTTTTAATTATTTTTATTTTTTTTAAAATATAATAATAAAATTATTACTAATTTTTTTAATATTTAATTTTTTTTTTTAATATTTAATTTTTTTTTAATATTTAATTTTTTTTTTAATATTTAATTTTTTTTTAATATTTAATTTTTTTTTTAATATTTAATTTTTTTTTTAACTTTTAATTATTTTTTTTTAAATTTTTTTTATATTTTTTAATTTTTTTTATATTTTTTAATTTTTTTTATATTTTTTAATTTTTTTTATATTTTTTAATTTTTTTTATATTTTTTCATTTTTTTTATATTTTGTTTTTTTTTATTTATTTATTTTTTTTCTTTATTTTTTCATTGTTTCAAATCCTGTTGTCTTGTTAAAAACATAAAAACTAGCTTTAATTTGTTTCTTTATTCGAGTTTCCTTATACATACATAATAGCACTAGTTATTTCTGGTTATTATGAATATTATATATAATCATAAGATGTTTGCTATAAAATGATTGTAATTTATTATTTTTCATGCATCACGTATTGAAATTTAGTTTTGATTTAAATTATTTTATGCTGTGTCAAGTATGTTATAAGTTTTTTTAATTACCAATAAATATGAAAACTTTCTGACCAATATTAGTTTTTTCGATTTCATTCGGTGAAGCATCTATATAAGAAATATTAATAATTATTAACTGTTCCATCAATACAAATGCATTTACTCGAATTCAAGTATTATTGCATTTCTAATTGCAAACCACAGGTAGATGTTTTATATAAAGCGAACACAATTAATCATTGGTAATTTCATAAACACCTATCTTTAATGACTTAAAGAATTTAAAATTAAACATTCTACAATTTTTGTTCCGTAAAATTAATATTAAGGGAGGAAATCACATTTTTTTTATTTTTTTTTATATATTTTATTATTTATTTTTTGTTTATTTCTTATTGGTGATCACTTATCCACGTCAATATTTTTATATGGCTTCATAATTTTTTAAAATTGTAATAAGGAATGAAAAAATGTATTTAAGTTAATTGTAAAACAATCATTATAGACGAGTAAGACTGGTTTCTGATAGAAGGGATGAAGAGGAGATTATAATTATACTTTTTGAATTTCGCGCAACAAAAATTGTTGCGTTTTTTCAGTTTGATACACAGACATATGCAATATTTTTTTTTGCCAGTAAACGTCATGTATCCATATACTACTCCATACAAAAATTGTGTACATATACACAAAACAAATTTTAAGTATATGATAGTGTAAACGCAACTGTTCCAGTATGTAGTAGTCCTTGATTATCTTATGATGTTAATTTAGGCGCATACGCCGCAAAAGCAGGATTTTACATCTATTCATCGTGCATAAGACCATTTCCTACAGCAACTATAAATATTTTCAAGTGTAAAGTCAGTGCCAGTGTAAATAGGACTCCCAATGTTTAT